TGTACCCCAGTTCTGTATGCACAAATAAATAAATCTTTACCCAAAAAAATATTTTTTAAAAAATTTATTTATGCATACAGAACTGGGGTACAAGTCAGAGGTGCAGGGGCGGTGAGAGGCTTCACCAGAGAGAGTGGGGAGCAGGACAGACAGATCAACAAAGTACACTGCTGAGGGAAGCAGCCAAAGAGAGGGTCAGGAGAGGTCTGCTCCACCCTGTGGATCACCTCGGGGAGGAGGGCTGGGATCCAACTCACACTGAGGTGGCTGCAGCCAGCTTGCAGTGCTGGGTTCTAACCTGTTGTGCCACCAGGGAGGGCCCTGCTTTTTTTATGCTGAAGTGTCTGAGGTTATAAATTCCCTGGAATACTTAATTGCATGGATAAGATGGTACTACTGACTTTCAACTTGCAAATTCTAGTATTAAACATTTTTGCTCTCAACTCACCAGAACCCTCAACCTCTTATTTCTTCAATCTGCAGTTCCAGAATAAGGAGTCAGCACACCACCACCAGCCATTGTAGAAACAATGATGAATAAGGAGCTCCCACCAGAGTTTTGAGGGGGCTTTCCTAGTCAGACCTTGTCAGAGATCTGGGGCTAAGAGTCTAGGTCTTAGCTGAGATAGACTACTTCACTGTGAGTTAAGAAAGTAGAGGCCTCCTTGCAGGTAACAGGATGAACCCAGAGAAGATGAACTTCTCACACTATAGGAAAGATGTGCCACATACTACAGTTTGTATCTTACATTTAGAAACAGTGGTTGAAAACATTTAAATGTTTTCCACATTAATATAGATACTCAAGATGTGAATGATAATCCCTCCCAGGTCAGCAGGAGTATTATTGAATAAAATATCTGAGTTGACCTAGCCTGGAACAAGATTTGCAATAGAACCTAAAGAAGATATTGATGTTAGAAGCAATTCCTTTACAAAATTGCCACCATAGCAGCAATTCAGTATTTGTCTGTGAAGTAAGAGACCAATGGCAGAAAACAAATACGTTGAACTTGTGTTAGAGAAGCCACTATATCTAGAGAAGCAAAGCCTAGTCATCGCATAGTCCTGATACCCTTAACCCCCACAAAGCAGCACCACTCACAAACCAGGTGGTTGATGCCAACTATGAGCCCCTCTTCATTCCCATTTTAGCCAGAATGTATATGGGGGGGGGTCAGCCCTTGAGAAGACATATCCCCAAGCACCCCCATGGTAAATTGAGGATGAGGGCCACTGACCAGAGGAGGGGATCAAAGTGAAGATGAAATACGCTCTTGCAGCCCAGCATACCTATATCTAGTCCCTTGGTCACAACAGTGGAAAAATAAAAACTTTAAGTTATGTTGCCATACAAAGAGATAAAAAAAAAAATATTCCATGATTTTGGGAGCAAGGAATGGAGGCCGGGGATAGTGATCAACTGCCCACTATATTTAGATAGTGACACAGTCCCAAAGATGACTTTTCATCCCACAATGATTCCTGAAAATTCTGCACCTGTTTAAATCATCTGTCTAAAACACTAGATCCAGACTCAAGAGAAACAGGGAGGACATGGATACATGATAGGAATTGCAAACATTCATAAGTATAAGAAAATGTACCTTCTAATAATAATTACTACAAGCTTGTTATAGATGGGGCCCTGGACTGGGAGCAGACTCAGAGTACAATGTCACCATCATGGCCACCAGTAGAAGTAAGCAAGCCCTCTCCTCAGAAGTGGCACCCTACAA